GGGCTTCCAGCTCGTTCCATGTGGTGCCCCGATCCGGCACTGTCGAGCACCGTAGTTGATGTGCCCAGACCGAAACCCGAGAAACCCAGGAAACTATAAGCTAGACTACTGACTTTCTAGATCTGAAAGCTAGCAACATTAATCCTTAATGGTAACAGCTTACAAGATGGGCCCGATCACTATGCGGTAGTGTTGGAATGCCCTGAACCTGATGAGGCTTGTAGGTAGCATACTTATAACTAAAGATTCAAATGAATCCTCTGCTCGATGTCTGAGATGCCTCTGTAACCTTAGGGGCTTCGTGTTTAGGGTGTTAGGGGTTTACAACATAAGGACCTGGGTCCGGGGGGGGGTCAGCGGTTTCGGTCGACTTTAGTGGTTTCTAAGGAATCACAGGTGCACCCTGCAAATTAACTATATCCTGGTTTTACCCTATTATATATATATATATATACACCCCACTATTATATATATACATGGAACTAGCTAATAAACTTTTTATATATACTATATCCCGGTATACATATATATGAATATATGTATATATATATATAGATATATATATATATATATACATATATATATATATATATAATATATATATATTATACGTATATAAAAATAAATATAAGTACATATATATAGTAAGATCTAGATATATGTATATATAAGTTAACTTATAATATACATAACATATATGTCTACGCTGTACTTTACATATTCTGAATATTAAGCACTTCCCCGAGGAGATGCAGGAGCTATGGAACCAATTGGCTGACCTCGAGGAGCTTCGTCAGTATCTTATCAATGAGGAGAAATGCGGCCGCTTCTCTCCTTTTACGGTCTTGTAGATGTACAGAACGCTACAGCTAGAGTACGAGAGGACGACACTACTTCAAAATCACCCTTAAACCCTGCTAGCTGGCCTTAGAATACTTGGCAAGCCCCCTGTTAGCCTACGGTTCCGGGGTGTCGGAGGCTCATCTTTACGGTACGGGACCCAACCGCTGCCGCGAGACAAAGCGTGATTTACCGTGATTTGCCGTGATCCTCTCCTCTCTGTTCTTATATTACGCAAACCGACCCAGCGTGAATACGCGTGATTTCGCGTGATTTGGGGGATGCCTGCTCCAAGCCTAATTTTGAACGTAGCCTGGACCAGCCTTGGCGGGGCCCCGTTGCGTGCCATGTCCACACCTTCGGACGCGGAGTTGGCTCAGGTGGGGTCCAATTTGGTGATTGTTCGGGTATTATAGCGTTGTAATATATCCCAGTCGATCCGGAAGGTGGCGCAGAACGCTATGCAGGCGGCCCAGAGAAGGAAGGAACTGGTTTCGAAGATTGCACAGCAGGCCAAAACCAAAGCTGCCCCGAAGCAGAAGCAAGAGAAGACCGCGACCCTGACCCCGAGCCGTCCAGATGGTATCAAACGCTTGCACAACCACCTGACTCCAGCCAGTGCCAGCACGAAAACACCCTCGACCGCGACCCCGGATGCAAAGAATCCAAAGATGGAGACGGATGATGCAAAGAAAGTCTTGTTCGGTGACTAGGTTGCAGATACACTATAGCTAGCTACCCTATATAAACACCAATATGCATAAGACGTTCCCCTGCAACCTGAACCGAGGTCCCTCGCAGACGGAGGAGGCTGTGGCCCAGGCCGAGACCACGCAGCTGGACCGAGCAGGGTCGAACCTGTCTTTGCTATCCGGCACCACTATGGTTCTTGGGCAAAGTCCAAGGGAAAAGGCAGGGTGAGGGGTTTCGAGTTTTCAGTTCTAGCTAATTTAAGGGCATGCACCCGCAGGTTGATCAATGCGATTTGGATGGGGACGTCCTTACAGAAGCAGATATGCAGCTCATGGATGCAGAACTCGAGGCCGGCATTAAACAAAGGTATTTGCACTAGCTAGCCCCCATATCTCATGTATATACCGTTCTAGATATATCGCTCCGAACATCAGGAAAAAAGCCCTATATGCATTAGCCACACACCATACAGACCCTAAATCCTAAACCCCAAACCCTAAACCCCAAAACCTAAACCCCAAACCCTAAACCCCAAACCCTAAACCCCAAAACCTTAACCCCAAACCCTAAACCCCAAACCCTAAACCCCAAAACCTAAACCCCTAAACCCTAGATGCTAAGAAGCCCCACAGAAATCGCAGCTCCGACGCCGACAATAGGCCGCAACCCCAAAAAGCCCAATGCCAAAACCTCGAAGCCGACTTCCCAGCCCGGCTAAAATGTCAGGCCGAGCTGGAAGCGACCCAGCAGGTCGAGCAGGCAACACAAAGAAGCCCCCGGCAGTCAGAGGAGGCAGAGCAGCTCGAATGCGAAAAGAAGACACAAGGAACTGATGAGAAACCCCAGGACCAGCAAGGGCAGCTGCAGGATGCATGCGAAAAGAAAACGCAAGGAACTGATGAGAAACCCCACGACCAGCAAGGGAAGCTGCGGGATGCATGCGACAAGAAGACGCAAGGAACTGATGAGAAACCCCACGACCAGCAAGGGAAGCTTCAGGATGCATGCGAAAAGAAGACGCAAGGATCTGATGAGAAACCCCACGACCAGCAAGGGCAGGTACAGGAGACAAAGCTCCAGGATGTGTGGTCCCTAGTTCGCGAGAAGTGCTTGGAAGGAGCAGTGTCGACTTCGCCTGCTGATATCCAGCATGCCATCAACGTCGCCGGCAAGGAGAAGGATTTTGTCAATTGGCTTGTGTCCTCCCTGGTAGGACCGAGTCAGGAAGGATGCGGGTCGGGCACAGGAGAACCGTCGGCAATTGAGCAGGCTCTGCGGCGACCTGGAACCGTGGATTTCCAGCAGCTGCTGTCGAGCATAAGTCGAAAGATGGGCAGCAGCAGCAGCAGCAGCAGCAGCCGAAGAGTCCCGAGTCCCAACCTGGTGTGGCCTCTGTCCCAGCCACACCCCCTCCAAGCACACCCATGCCAGCTCCATCCACACCGGTCAGTTTGGCACCGCCCAGTCCCGCACCGACCAAGACATCCGTGAGCGCGGCCCCAACGACACCGAAGGCAATGGCCCCGCCCCGCCCGTGGATGCAGAGGTTGTCGAGGACAGTCGAGTAATGTATAGGTGCCCTATAATATAATAACACGTAATCCTCGATGCGAAGGATCGAAAGATGAGGCGCAACGCGTATATGAGATTCACCCGGTCCCTGACCAGCAACTCACTGTGCATTTAAATTTGTATGATAATAACCCCTAAACCCTGAACCCTAAAACCCGCCCCAAGGTGCCTGTTGCCCGGATGCGGTCCTAGATGCTTATGAAAAGTGCAAGGACAGCAACGGTTTCTTGGCCACAATGCATTGCATGTCCTAGCGATACATGAACCATGTCAGGATCTTCTTGCGAGCTAAGGACGAGTCAAGCGGGACAAAATGCAGGATTTGTTTCGACAATTCTTGGAGTGTAACGAACGATGGGGTGAAAGCGAGATGGTGATGACGGCAGAGGCTCGGTCCCTGCAGAGATCCCGAGTTCAGCGTCGGTGGATGACTCGGAAGGACATCATATATATATATATATATATGCTATGAACCCCAATATCAATAATATTAATATATACATATCCCAGATCTAAAACCTTAGAACCCTAAAAGCCTTGCAGGATCTCATGGAAAAATACAATGATGAAGAACTGGTCAAGGATATTATCCTTGGCAAAGTCTCTTGCTTGCAGCTGCATTTAAAGAGTCTGCGAAATCACCTCATTGCGATATCCTAGCTATGATTGCATAACCCGAGGAGCAGAATCCTGAGCACTGGATGGACAACCCCGACGCTCCGGGCCAGAAGGACTGATATAATGCACACGGCATGAATGTTTGCGATGTGTTGTTAGTTTACAATAGCGATTGGTCTACATGATCTGCATGCATTATCATTAATCGATCCCTTCAGGCCCTAAATCGAGTTATCCCCTAGGAGATGGCTAGTTCCCATGCACCCCTTACAATCAGGACTCCAGCTAAGTACCCACAGCTCCTAGCCTTAGATCCCATACCCCGAAATAATTAATCCTACCTAGCAACTTCCCTTTCAGGCTCACCGTGCTTATCTTTGCTGGGATGTTTCTACTGAGACGGCGGATGACGAGAACTCGCAAACCTTTACGAGAACTCGAAGCGCCGAAGTGGATCCCAGTTCCCGAGCCTCGACGTCGACACGCGAGGATCCTGGGGCAAAGCCACCGAAGCCAGATCAGCACAACAAGGAGAAGAAGGAGAAGACAGTGCTGCAGCAAGCAAAAACTGCCACTTGTCTTGACTAGTGCCATATTTGCAATATATAGTTAGCATAGACTGGTTTTCCAAATCCGCTGACGCAGGCAATGAATTTGGCTTCGAGCAATCTCTTGGAGATCCAGAGCTTCGATCACAAGCTGAAAGCCAACGGGTTGCCCCTTGACAGCTACTGGCTCCCCCGAATATTTCCCTCCAATAGGACTGTCCTGGACTATATATCATATTAGTTATGTATATAATATATAGCAATATATATATATATATATATATATATATAATATTTAAAATATATCTCGACGATTTATTCATCCTGAAAACCCCAATCCTGAAATTCTATGTCTTGTCTATGTGTGGGGAACCGTGGCTTATAACACGAGCTCGACTTTAATCTGATCGGAATTAATACCCGCAGGCCTTAAACCCCGAGCCGAAAAACGATATTAATAATATTATAGTTCTAGCTGAAAACAACCCGGAAACCCAAAATCCTGAAATTCGATGTTGTCTAGCAGATCTCTATAAATTCAATATTCCCCACGTGGGGAATATTGAATTGGTTTTAGTACTGGAGCTCGACTTAAATCGCCGAAATTTAATAAGATATAAGTAAAACCCAGGCCTTAAACCCCCAGCTACATTGACTAGTTCTCTTGTGTTGACGAGCCTGCATCCACCATCCAGGCACCAGGAGCTCATCAAGGCCTTGGTGTCATCGATGAATTCCCAAGCGGACTTGCTACGTGAGGCACGTGAGAGACTCGAGGCACGGACTAGGAGTGGGATGTCGCTAAATATTTGTTAAATCCTGTGCTGCATGCTGTCGCTAATTGCAGGCGGGTGTGGCCTGCGGGTCGCCTGAGCAAGAACTCAAGCCCCTGGTGTATAGAATGAACCATGCCAATGATCAGTATAAGATCGCAGCCAAGCACGTTAAGGTGCATGCGGCACCACCGAAACCGAAAGGTGCTGCCAAAACCGCACCGAAGGCGTCCGCCAAAGGCGGAAAGAAAAAGTGATGCTGAGGTCACGGTACAAAGTCGGATCAAGCCGCTAGGGAGTGCCCCCCGATGCCACTTCGACCGAGCTGCTATGCATACATAGAAAACACAAACGTAGCTACGGAATACGATGCCGAGGTGGTTTTTGAAGCACTCAGCCTGATCCCGAAGACTTTGCAATCCGAAAGGGTTGAGCCATTTTGATTGTTGCCCGGCCGTGCAGACAAAAACTAATGCTTGCATTGCATGGGTAGGCTCCTTGATTTTCTAGTCAGCTTATCTGTCTAAACTTTGCACGATCTGGCCCTGGCTGAGGTCAGTGCGAAGCCATCCCGGAGGAAATCATCGATGCAGCTCCTGAGCCTGAGTCGGACCACGTGCCGCATTACTAAGCTTAAACCTTATTTCCCTGAGAGCTGTAATAATGCCAGACCCTGGCACCTTAAAAGATGCAGGCTTTGCTGCTGGGCTCTAGTACAGGTAGCTACCCGAAAGCACGTGTGTGAAGATTTGGGAGAGCTGCACGATGCCATCTAGCAATCTGATCGGTGAGGGGCGACCTCGATGAAGAAAGGAGCTGTGCGACAACTGAAAGCCCGAAAGCCTAAACCCTAACCTACCAAACCCCAAGCCAACGACCTTAGAAATCTTACTCGTGCTACTATCGCTCGGTCCTTTGAGGTTATTGGGTCTGAAGGTGCAGCATATTATCGGAATAGCATACAGCCCCAAAGCTTAAACCCCAGCTATACTAAACCCCAAGCCAACGAGCTTCTAATTCTTGCTGGTGCTACTCTCGCTCGGTCCTTTGGGGTTATAATAGGTATGAAGGTGGGATTTGGGGTCATACTATCGGAATATATATATATATATATATATATATATATATTATAATGATATTGTATGTAAATACTACTGCTAGCCAGGTCTGCACGTACTAGTTATAATGGCAGTACATGTAGATGTTCCAAGCCCTGCCCTCGACGTTCTTGCAATCCTCAGAACTCGAGGCCTAATAGATAGTCTGTAACATGCAAGCCTCCCCAATGAATCATCGGACTCCTGCATCGTACCCAAACCCACTAGGAAATCTGAACGAACCCGGTACTTGCAATACACTTTATTCATCTCATTACTGCAAACTCAGCTGGCCACTCGGCCATGACCATCAACCTGTAGATGTAGAAGCGCCACCACCTGCACGCAGATGAGAACACCGCATTTGCCGACTACTTGTTGGCTTCCTTGGGCTCCGGTGTCCATTAGCTGCATTGGCGAATTTTGATCTAGATAGGCTTTGATCGCTAGGACTACGACGGGATTGTAAGAAAGCTGCTCAGCGTTTTTCGATCCGTGCCCGGAGTTACGATGTTGCTGCTCAGAGGTTTGTCGGGTACTAACGTATATCGCACTCTGTGTCTGAGGCTACTTCTACTGCGGAACTACAGAAAGCTGCTGCTGCTATGGTCAAAGAATCCCGCAACAACTGCTCTGATATGACACGTATGTTTGCACGTGCCGGCTGCTCCGGCAAATATCCGGGCAATGTGGAATCTTGGTTTCAAGTGGGGGGGGGGGGCGGGGGCACATGAACATGAAACCTGAAGTATAACTGGACCCCTAACACCCAGCTCTCCAAGGAAAGAGATATAATGCGTGGACTTGAGCTCCCGGTGGCTTCTTGGCTGTTATTTCGAAAGCGCTTCTTAAAATACCCTCAAACCCTTAAGCTTAAGTGCCCCTAAGCCCTAGAAACCCTGAACCCTGAACCCTGAGTTTAATATATAATGCATATATAGATCCAAATCAGGACGTGCATTATGTGGAGATCCCTGTACTGGCCGCTGTGAACCGACGAGAACGCACCACGATGAATCTTCCAATCATCTACCCGCATGAGCTGATACATTTCCTTCATGAGCCCTATCTGCAATTGCAATTGTCTGTGATTTTTGTTCATTATCCAGCAGATCCAAGGACACTGGCAAGGTCAAAATCGGCCAGCCGGCTATCGATGAGTATTGGGCTCATTTGGAAGCCCACCAAGAGTGGGCTGCTGTGCACCCTGGATACAATTGTATGCCTATCGGCCTACACGGCGACGACGGGCGGTACAATAAACCTGGCGACAAAGTCATCGTGGTGACTTGCAACTTTATATTGGCCAGAGATGTTGACCGAAGCCTGAACGCAAGCATTATTGTTCAGTTTAATTTAAATTTTCTATTTAGCATAATAAGCTATCTATATATATATAATCATCCGGGCTATCCTTAAGGAAGCTATCAACAACGCTATCCGCTGATGAATTTGCGAGAATTTATTTCGCTTGGTTACGAAAGCCTTCATCCTGCCCTGGAAGTGATAGCATGGTCGCTGAATGCACTGGCTACTGGTATTCATCCCTCTACCGACTATCAGGGAAATCCATATCGTGGAAGATATGTCGCAGGCACACAGATCGCAGGCCTGCAGCCATCAGCCAAACAGTAGAGCAGCTTCAGACCTGAGTCTGGATGTTTAATTATAACTGCCCCCTAAAGGTGGGCGACACTTTGTAATGGAGCTGAGAGGGGACTGGAAATGGCACAAGGAGTTTATGCGGCTGAAAGCTAGCTGGCAGTCTGTGTCGGTCTGTCATCTTTGTACTGCCCAATCCCGCGGTGCCAATTCGAAACCTGGCTGGCCTGTAGCATCAAGTTTATAATGTAAAACCTGAAGTGTTTGACCCCTAAAGCTTTGTAAGCAGACCATGAATATGTAATATATATTGTAATTACAATATATATTACATATTCATGGTCTGCTTACATGGTACGAACTAGCTGCAGGTGGAAATCCAATCTGGACCGCGAGTTCCCCCGGCGACAGCAAGCTGACATCATTAGGAGCGGAATGAGGCTAGACGAACATCACGAAACAGTTTATAATATAGTCGTCTAGTACGTATATATATAGCTCAGACGAACCTGTTAGTGCTAGTGCGGGTTTAGGTACGGGTTGGTTGCTTTAATTTTTTTTGTACGATTATTAATGAACCCCTGCAGCCGGCCCGCGAATCCTCTGATCCTGGTCGACGGCTTTCGGCCGGAGTTTATCCGCACGTGTGCAATGCACACGATTCACTTGGGCATATTGCAGCTGCTTAACGGCTCCATCTTCACACTACTGGATGAACTCCGCCACCGGGTGCGAATGTTACTATGTTATTGGATTGTTTTGTAATTAGTGCTAGGATTTCGGACAGGGTTAAGGTGAGGGGTAGGTGAGGGGTAGTACGTGCAAACAGAAATCAGGCTGGATGGGCGAGGGCGATCTGACGGCTAAGATGGTTACGCTGTGCAACCGCTTCAAGAATTGGGCGTCGGCAAATCGCCTTCAGACGCTTGCATGCATCAGCAATGAGTTTGTATACATATCTGCAACTGCATAATTAAGCTTGGGAAACCAAGCTCGACTCAACCACTTCAGGGCCACTCGATGTTTTTGCTTTTTGGGCTGTACGTAGTTTATGCCTATCCGATATAAGCTGGGATCCAATTAAATTTATGTAACTTCTCAACCTAATCCCGGGCCGCCCCTGATAGTATTTTTTTGTACCCGCCTTAAGCCGAAGGCACTCGCAGGCGATGATGACGGGTGGGTTGCTCAGCTGGGAAGGCGGAGCCTTCCCACGGCTTGATCTTAAAGCCTGGAACTCTCGACTCATGACAGCCTTCTTCCACATCGTATTGCGGCAACTACAAGATCAGGCGTTCAGTGACGAATCGCTTCACAAAGAGATTCGACTTGCTTTCGGGCTGACCAACGCTATGATCACGTTCATCGATACGATGGAGCGCTCCCCGCGCTATTTGACTTCGCAGCAAGCGCAAGTGATGCACTCGGCATGCTCGACGTACTTGCAACTCAGCGAGGTCATTGCGCTGGTCGCGCAGCAGCGCGACAGAGCGCGATGGAAAGTGGTCCCTAAACACCACACATTCCGGCACATAGCCGAAGATCAGCTGAGCTGTCTTTACAATTATCGGCACTGCCATTGCTTCCTCGACGAGGACTTCGTGGGATTCTGGAAGACATTAGTACAGGCAGTGCCGAAGGAACTCTTAGAGTTCAGGTGTCTCACCCGGTGGCTCCTCAGGCTTAAGGTGATGTGATCAGGGTTTCAATTTGTTGGGCTTTTAGTGCTAGCTTATATAGAAAATTGGAATATATAGCGGCCCGGGAAACACTAGCTAAACCGAAATGTAAGAATTAATCATAGCTGAGCTCAACATCTTGAGATCCTGGCGCAGCATCGACATGCAGAGCTTGCCGAAGCCGTCAAAACGTGGAGCGAGGGACTTGAAGGCTACTGCTTGAAGGTTCGGGTTTTGCTGGGAGATTCAAGCTCCGACGACCTAGCTTTAGACCCAGAACGTGAACCTGAAACTTCAATCACCCTACCGCAGAAACCTCGTTACGAAGAGGTGTGAAGCCTTAAGGGTTGAGGCTTTTAAATTCGGTGTTGTGGGCTTTCGGTGTTGTGGGCTTTCTGCAGAGACCTCGATAATTATCGAGCTTGAGCTTTCCGCTTCGGGCCTATAATGCTTGAGAAGAAGTCCTGCACAGAACGGTTCTTAGTGCGAGGGTTTTTGGGCTTTGCCTGCATGTGAATCTCAGGCTTAACTGCAGAAGCTTGGAAGCTTTCGGATCCGGGGTTTTCTGATTCTAAGGGGCGAAGGGCTTTTGACAAACCGGGTTCGGGGCTGTGGGCTTTCTGAGCTCAGACGGATTCGAAGGCCCTGCAGACTGGAGGCCACCTATAGTCTCCATTGTAGTTCCTTTTTTGGGTTTCCAATTTAATTTTATGGTTAACACCCTTATAATAGAACTTGGTTAACCTAAAAAAAGGAACTACAATGGAGACTATAGGTATAGCTTAAGTGTGCTGGCCCTCACTCCAAACTCGAAGCGACACCTTAAACCCCTAGGCCCAACAAAGCCTTCACGTGATCAGATAGCCTGCTGATTAATAACTCGCCCGAAACCTGCTACTAGCTCGAGATACCCCTAACTCATTATAAGCTCAGTTGATAACCACGCTTCCCAAGCGAAGAAGCACGAAACCGTAAGCCCGAGAACGCACAAATCGTGAAGTGTACCCACAAAACAAGAAGTGTACCCACAAATCGAGAAGTGTACCCGCAAATCGAGAAGTGTATCGTGTACGCACAAATCTAGAAGTGTACCCACAAATCGAGAAGTGTACCCCAGAATCGAACGAGTCTAGTCGTGATTGCCTATATATATATATATATATATATATATATAATCGTACGAGTATATGAGTACTACTATATATATATATATATATATATATATTATATATATATATATATGTACATATATATATGTATATATATTATTATTATATATATATAATAATAATAATAATAATAATAATAATAATAATAATAATAATAATAATAATAATAATAATAATAATAATAATAATATATATATATATATATATATATATCTTATATGCTATGGAATCATGGATTTTGGGGTTCTGTGGAATGTCTATGTTTTTTGTTAACGTATGGCTATGTTGGGCGATGTTGCCGATAATTGTGCACGTTCTGTAATGATCTCGGTTTTTGGCGCCTTTGGATGGAGAGGGTATAATAAGGAACCCCACAATTATGTAGGTAATTAACAAGGCCCCTGTATTGGACGAAGCCTGCAAACCACAACCTTAGCCACTAGAAAAACTTGCACCAAAGTGAGCGTGGTAGGTAGCCCACCTGAGCTTCAATATGCAAATGCCTCGGTATATTATGCCAGAATGATAAGAGGAATCCCCAGAATGATGTCTAAACCATAAGCCCTAAACCCCTCTTCATCTTCCGGCGGAGACGCACCTGCCATAGGGGAGAGCCTTGTTCTCCACTTCCCCAGCAAAGAAGACTTCTGCCAAACAGACGATTACTTCAACGAAATAAGAGCTATGGGGTTTAGGGTTTCAAGTATAGGGTTTAGGGTTTACGGTTTATGAATTAACGCTTTCTACAATATACAGGATTGAGGATGAAAGAGTTTACGAACTATAGTGATGGTGCTACTTCAAGTTTAACGAAATAAGAGCTGTAGGGTTTAGGGTTTAAAGTAGAGTGTTCAGGGTTTAGGAATTGTAATGAAGGTGCTCAAGCTCAGGACCGTCTTTGCCAGCGGTCGGCAGCATGCGCAAGGTTCACTTGGTTGGCGTGGGCATCCGAAAGCTCGCATCAGCAAGCTCCCTTACAGCAATAGAGGGAGGCCCTGACGGATGTGGGTGGTTGTCAAAATTATGGTCCCTTATATAGTACGGCAACTAATATTTAGGGTACCCAAAAAGGGGCCATAATTTTGACAACTACCCATGTGTAGTTCCAAGATTGAGCTTCCGTAGCAGCGCCCGCAACCACTCAAAGCTGCAAAGCTTTGGACGAGGAGCCAAAAGAACGGCGTGGACAGTCTGTGCTGCAACCCTCTAGTACGCGGTTTAGGGTTTAGGGTTTAGGGTTAGTCTAGAACTCAGCATACGATCCGGCGCTTGCTCATATGAGTGGTTGTCAAGACTCCTATGCTCTCCTACGCTCTTATTCAGAAATAACATACACCTGGCACAACGTACTTAAGCCAGGTGCATGGGCGAAGCCCTGAACTCTAATTATGCCCCACCATCGCCCGCAAACCCTAAACCCCGCAAGTAGACCCTAAACCCTCAAACCCAAAACCCTAAATTGAACCAAACCCAAGAGCCACGTAAAGCTCAAAGCCCCAACCCCTGAATCCTGAGCACAGGGGCTTCGGATTCTAAAGCTGCCGGGTCGCGCAGCCGGACGATCTGCTGCAGAAAGGCGGCCCCAATCGTGACCTTTATAAAGAAACAACCGGGTTTTTGAACATAACCGTGGTTTCAGGGGCTCTAGAAGGGATCATGTGCTTCATTCCTTGCTGCGCCGCGGCGGTGACCATACCGTCGACAACGCCGAAGACGACCACTACCACAAAACCACCACCATGCCAAAAAAAAACACCGCTGCCTGCCATCACCAGCGCAACCTCTGGTACGACCACTGCTGCCGAGACTGTGCAGGGTATCGTGTATAGTGCAGCTCTAGATGGACTATAAGGGTGCAGTAGTGGCAATTATTCCGACCACTACATTTGCGCCCTGGTCGGTTGCTCTATACCAGGGCCACTCATCGCTCCACCAAGCTCCTTGCAACATCTCAAATTCCTCAGACCTTCAGCCCTAAACCCCGAACCCCACAACCCCTGAAGTTGGAAGCGCCCCGCTCTCAAGCCCTCAAGCTCTGAACCCAACAAATCCTGAAAGCCCAACCTCCCTAAACCCAAAATCCACAAAAACCCAGAAACCCCCAAAACCCCGAAGCGGCCCGCAGCCTAACCCTGAGACCCAAATGGCAAAAGCCAAAGAAGCACCATGTAGGACGGAAAAGCCTGAAAAAACCGTGCCGGAAGCCTTGTATACCTATTCAGACTCCGGTATTGCAATCTGACCTAGAATTATTCCTCTTAGAACCCTAAACCCCAAACCCTAAACCCCGACCTCATGATATGGGTTGAATCGGCCCTGGCAGAAGCGGAGCGCGAGGGAAGATTTGCCCTTGGCGTGGCATTGGGTGCGTGTAGGGCTGGCTGATAGGGCTGTTTAGGGCTTGGAAGGGCTGACAGTGTTTCGTTGGGATTTATTGGCGAAGGTAGGTTATGTACTGTTTAAGTTAGGTTAAGGGTTGATGTCGCATGGTTTGGTGCCTCGTGTCTTTTTTGAGGCACCTTTCTCCATCCATCTGAATTCCTAAGGGGTTTAGAGGGCCATTTAGGGCCCTGGTGCCTGGGGCGGGGGTCCGAGATCCCAAATCTAAGTCTAAGCGTGGGCCCACGGAATCGGATCTTCCCCTCCGGGGGTGTCGGGATCGGAGCCTTGCGAGGGACGGTTTAGGGTTTAGGGTTAGGGTTTAGGGTTTAGGGTTTAGGGTTTAGGGTTTCGGGTTTAGGGTTTAGGGTTTAGGGTTTCGGGTTTAGGGTTTCGGGCTTCGGGAGTTTTCGGATCCAGGGCTCGGTCTTTACTACAGAATCTGCTCGCACGCCTTCGAGGCCAAACCGAAACCCAAAGGTGCCCTAAGCCCTAAAGCCCCCAGAATCCCATACCGTTGTGGCGCCATGCCGCCCCGTTCAGTCTAAGATGCTCTCGTCAGCAACATGGGCAGTTCGGTTTTATGAGGATTTTCGGAGCATGTTTTGGCATGTTCAAGTACATCGCGGACATTGAAAGGGCTGCTAGAGCCAGCACCCATGCTATAACCAAATACCCAATACGACATTGAGTCTTTCTTGGCAGGCCCGATTCTATGACACAACCCCTAAACCCTAAGCCTTATTTGCAGGCTTTGGGGGATGAGAGAGTTGTCAGCGTGTCGCGTGAACGTCAAGGCTCGCCCTGAACCTCTTCAACAAACGCAGCCAGGAAGTATGAGAAAAGAAATATTTGGAAGACCCTTGAATAATACAGATCCCCAGTCAATATAGGCAACGTGGTTTATTCATCACGGGGCTGTAGTGCAACTGTTCTGATTCCGTCATTAGCGGCTCGATATGGATCCGTTCGTTTTGCGCAAGCACCTCGCCATAGCATATATTTCCAAGCATGCATGGTTGAATGGAAGCGCCTCAAAGCAACGGAAGGCAGCCCTCATGAACACCCTCGATGTTCCAAAGCTGCTGTCTGTGTAAACTGGCTGCTTTCGATCGACACACCGAAATTACATCCTGAAGGCTCAGCCACCAGCACCTTTAAAACCCCAAAACCCCACGTCCCAAGTCCCTAACTTACTAAACCTCTTCAAACCTCTCAACCCCAAAATCCCAAGCCAAAGCCCTCGTCTGTAAAACCTTAAAAGCCTTGTAGAAGCCTTCGGGTACCCTTATACAACCTTTCTAACCCATATTTGTAATACCCTCAAAAGCCGAACAAGGGGACCTCCACCACTGGAAGGAGCCAAGGGGCCACACCCGAGTCGCCCAGCAACACGATCTTGGCCTGCAAGAGATGGATTAGAATAGGGTCTTGGGGGGTAACTAGAATAAGGAACCCACCGAATAGTAT